CTTTGTAGATGATGTAATGATGTTATTTTGTACTACAACAATTCAATCATAAGGAATAAATAAATCGTCAGATATGACTAGAAATAAATTATTAAATTAGTTCTTTTTAAAGTGTATGGAAACGATATTATGTCAAAAATAAAGTATTTTTTAAATTTTTTTTTTCGTTGATTTTAATTAGGCACTTGGCAACACCGCGCATATTTAAATTGATAGAGCATGAAAGATATAATTCTAAATTCTAATGAATAAATACATAAATGATCACTTATTGATCCTCATATGCCTTTAATATGTAATTAAAAAAAAGTTAATTAATGGGGTTTCCGGTTATACTCGTACATTTGAAAAATACTTTCCTTCCTAAAGTCTAAAACTTAAGTTTTGTAATAAAATTGTATATTTAAGAAGGGCGTCTTCGCAATATTTATCAAAATCTTACTTACAGAACGGTGCAAAATTGGTATCATTAATTCCAAAGTATCTTCAAATATAATTTATTTATTTTATTTATTTAAATTAAATTTAATAAGAATGGATATTTACAAATGTTTTCTTCATATATTACAATTAGGTATTTATTTTTTAAAGTCTTTAATGATAGGCATAATAGAAGCTTTTTCGGTTAATGAGATGCATTGCATGAAAATTAGTGATTTACAAGACCGATTAACTTTTTTAGTAAATTTTTCCAAAACCAAGACAAAAACAAATCGAAAATTTTTAATTTCCGATATTTCTTAAAAAATATTTTAAAAATACATCAGTAGTTGTCCAACACTACTATTTTTTAACTATCAGTACGATAAATGGTTACGGGTCACTTGCCCAGTTTTTGCGCGAGAGAGAACAACATAGAAGGAGAGTTCCTGCTAAGTATGGCAACATCGCGAATAGGGGTGGAGCTATGAATGGTAATTACTAGTAGCTCCATCCCCGTAAAAGTCACTTACCCACTGTAATCACATTTATCCTAAATTCCTATTAGGAACATTGTGTAAAAAATTTAATCTATTTCGTGGAAAAACTGATTCAAATAGAACCGAATAAAATAAATCCCGGATTTAAACCGGAAATGTTATTCCAGCTTAAACTATTAACTATTATTAAATACATAAATACCTACTAATATCTATGAAAATTCTTTAATAAACAAGTTTTGAAGATTTCAAATAATAAGGGTACCTAGGTAGATTATTTGCCGGCAAGAAAATGTCACAAAAATTAGATTGCAATCGATTTCCGACTGATAGTGAAACGTCAATAGGTCCCGTTATTTTCACATTATTGCCTAACAAAAAGTACAACACTTATAACATAGTTTTTCAAAAACAAAAACAGTATTTACCGGAATGGAAACCAAGCCGTTTTATGTTAGATTTCGAAACTAAACTTATTGAAGCTTTAAAAGGACACTTTCACTTTAGTAACTGTTTGTGGAGAAGAATCCAAAGCGTAGGATTAGCTTCTTTATACAAGAATGATATGGAAATCCAAAACCACATAAAAATGTGTTCTTTGCTGGCTCATTTACCTATAAATCTTATTGATGAAGGGATGGCTGGAAATAATAAAGATTGTCCAGTTAACAAAAAAATAGAAGAGTTTACCAACTATTTCATAAACCAATGGCTTGAAAATAACTCGTTGTCAAGAGCTGTATGGAATTGCTATAATTTAAGACACTGTACAAACAATGCCGTAGATGGATGGAATAACAAATTACAGCTCCGAATAAGAAACAACCCCAATCGGAATGAATTGATTAAGTTTCTTCTATTTGAAGCTGAATTCCAAGATAGCGAAATACTTCGAAAGGAGTTTGGACTACCATTATCGAACAAAAGAAGAAAAATATACATTGGTATAGATAATAAAATCAAAAACTGTTTATTAAAACTTAATGAACACGGAAATATTAATAAATGTTTAAAAACTTTAAGCTATTTACAAAAATTATATTTTTTTATGATTTAAGTTAAGTTATACTTAAATATATTATTTTATATTTTTTTGTAAAATATATTTTTTTAAATTTGTATATTTACCTACAATGCCATTATTTACAAATATTTAATAAAAAAATTTTAAATATCTCGAATAATTAACTTATTTTTTACCCCATTACGGTTACATATTTACATAAAATGCAAGTAAATACATCTCATCTTTATTTTTAAATTCAGTGTTAAAAAAAAATAATTTTTATTTAAAATTTCTATTTACGTCTTAAAAATTACCGGTATTAGGTACCATTTTCAAATAATAAGTAAGTAAATGCTTGAAACTTTTTGTAAAATTTTATTATTTTTATGTATGTGTTTCAGAAAGTACTGTAAACTGAGGATTTATAGATCATAACTAATTATTAGGAAAAGCTAAATATAATTTTCCTGTAAACGTCCAAGTTTTCATTCTACAGGGTGATAAAGTAAATTTATTAAATACATAATTTGCTAAATATCTTTCCTTACTGTAAAGACTTTAACTTAAAAATATATGTATTGTAATGTGAGTCATTTCATTATTCAGTCATGCTCTAACCCTCTGAGTCCCTCTCTGTCATATTTGGCCTTTGAGGCTCAACTTGTCCGATTTTCATACATAATTAAACCCCTTAAGGCCAAACATATGTGACGACTATGGCGGAGGTGCTTTCGATACCTTTCCAGGTAAAACGTGATGTTTTTAGTTTTGGCGAAGAAAATTCTACAACATTCACCATAATTTTAAATTTGTATATAAATATTGGTGGAGGTGAACGCTGTGTCAGTTATTATATGGACAGTGAAGATAAATAGTAATTAGTAGATAGACAGTGGTGAATATAAATAGTGAACGATTCAAAGACATTCGAAATAAATATAAATTAGAATAGTATTGTTATAAATAAATAAGTGTTTAAATAAATTATTAATTAATAAACTGTTGTTTAAAATTAACAAACATCACAGTATGTAAGTTAATCGTCATTATTAGTTGACACTCTAATTCGACAAAATACGATACCTGCAAGGCCGGCACATTACTGATAGAAAAATTGTTCCATTATTTTATGTAATGTATATATTTTAAATATTTAACAGGTGAATAAATGTTTTAAATAAAAAATGCCTGAGAACACAATTTTAATTCAAATTTTTTGAACACCCTATAGGTACTTAAGTATTGCATAATAGCTGAAATTAATAAATATTCCGCACGCAATTTATTACAAAAAATGATCTCTTGGTTGATCTCTGTAGAACATTCCATTTGCAGGATATTTTAGTTTTATCCCACTCAAACATAAAATATCTACATTAAAAAATTAAAAAAAATGCAAAAAAATTTACTAATAGGACCATTAAGTCCATAAAAACTTGGTCCCATTTACTAATGGAATTTTTAATATTTTTTATGAAATCGTCTCTTGATAAAATTGTACATGGATTTCATGTTTGAGTTGGACTTAAACCGAATAATCTCAGTAATTTAATATTACTAATTTTAACTTTTATGAAATATAGGGCGTCCAAAAGGGTTGGATAAATATTGATTTTATAACCCTTGATTCTACGCCAATGGATTATCGTAATTTATAAAAATAAAGTGTGTTAACTAATAATGACATATCATATTTGTAAATTAAAATATTAACCGTAAGGATAGATATTTAGAAAATTTTGTGTTTATGGACTTTACTTTATCACCCTGTAAAATAAAAACTGGAACGTTTAAAGGAAAATTATACTTAACTTTTCATATTAATTTGTTAAGATCTACAAGTATTTTATTCTGAAACACTCCGTATGTACTTGAAATGCAAGAATTCACACTTCGTCTATTCGAAGATTCGGTTTATTTCTTTATTTTTTTAAAGGTAATTTTATTTATTTATTTATTTTTATTCACTTGTATTTACAGTTACTTTTTTTATTGTCATAATATCTAAATAAATTATTGTTTTCTTATCCCCTACTTCTAAAATTTCCTTTGCCAATACTACTGATGACGTGATCCTATATCTCTGGATCCCATCTATCGTACGACTATGCGTGCGCATCTCTTCGATGCTTTGGGGTGGTTTGGTACTGTGGTCTGTGTTTGGTACCATCCCACCTCAAGTGCCACGTTGCCGGATCAAAATGTACCTGAAAAAAACTGGGCAAATGTCCCGACACCACGATAAATGCACTGCCCAAAGAATTGGTATTAATAAATTTATCAAAATGAAAAAAGATGTTGCCGCTTTATTGAAAACATTTTATATTTTTATACGTAGGTAGGTTTAAGCAACAATGGGTGCAAATATTTTTACATGAACAGATCTAAGGGAGTAAAAGGATCATATAATTTTACATGGACATATTTAAAAGACCAAATATTTTTAGATAAATAGGCGAAGTAAGGAGCCCCAATATTTTACTTGGGCAGGCTTAAGAGGTAAAGGGGCCAATTATTATTGGATAAATTGCTCAAACAAGTTTGTAAAGCCTAATCAAAAGGCGATATAGAATGGTTTTAAAAATCAAGGCTTGTTTTCTTTTTATGTTATCGGCATCAACTGCTACGGTTATTAGCCTCGTGTTCTGTGTAGGGTTTGTTACTATTTCCCAGCGCCACTTTAAAATTATTTCATGGTTTGACCTAAGTAATGCCAAAAAATTCAACGTCTTAATACTACTATCGGCTTTCGGCCTTTCGTTCCAAGTTTAAATCATTTCTATTTTTTTTTACGCTACGAGTTTACCCTTGGGGGCTTTAATCTCGATAAGGTGGAAACCACCATTTTAGCGTTTTTCGAATTATTATAGTGTTAGCTAGTTAGGTGTATATAAAAATAAGAAGGGTATAAATACGGGGTAACCGTTTTTAGTTATTTAATTTTTCTAAATGACACATATATTTAATAATTAGAATAACTGAATATTTGAATTTTTAGAGTAATAATTTAAAAAAAAAATATTTAAATTGTGTTTTAGCAAATATTTTTCTGTTATAGAGTTATTTTTTTATACCTGTAATTTCCACTTTGAAGTTGATCCAACTGCATAACTTGTGTGAGTATGCCGTCATCATGAGCAGTTTCTATCAAACTTTTTATTCTCAATAGACTTTCATTATCTTCATAAAGAACAGTAAAACTTTTCCATTTATTTGCAGATATTATTTCATAGTAAGCTCTTGCTAGGGTGCTTGGGTGGGGATAGAAGTTTATTATTGTTTTATCGCCTTCTATATAGAAGCTGTTCCATCTGAAAAATATATATTTATATAACAACAATAATAATAATAGTCTTAAATTTAAATTACACTCTTGATAAAGACTGTGAAGTATCTATTCAATATTATTTGAAACATAGATTGAGTACAGTAACCATACTTAATAAAAAAAAAAACGTAATGGAATTTAAATGTTGCATTCTTTTTGGACCACCCGTCAGCGGTGACTGTGAATAGTTATATTATAAGCAACATAAATATTGTTTATTTTAAAAGTAATAGCTAATTATTGTTCTGTGTTTACTGTACGATGCTGATTGAATTACTAAAAGCTGTTAACCTTTTTTCCTACGACCACTTAGGAAAGTGACACATATCACACTATATAGTCCTATGGAAAGTGCCCTATACCACAAGCGTATGAATAGGAATTTACTTTCCACCCCTGTACGAATATGCTACTTTCCGCAGTAGCTGTTACAAAATGTCAAACACATAATTTCTATTTTGATCTATGTAATGTCCATATTAATACTAAAATCGATATGATTGTTAAATTATTGAAATTGTTATAAATTAGATCCTAGATATTTATCTTTAACAATTAATATTGAAATAATTTTAAAATAACTAAGATTTATGTTTGCTCTTTATTCTGGTTAAATACATAACCGATTAGATCATTCAATTCAGGCAAAGGCTATTAGCTCAGTTGGTTAGAACATCGAAATTATCAACTTTGCCATTTGAGACGTGGCCAGCGACCACTTTCGAATCCTGCCGGGGCCAGATTTTTTTTTTGTTTTTTTTTATTTTTTTTTTAGTTTTTTTTTTAAAATATGAAAATTGAATAAATACGATTATTGTTGAATATTTTTTTAAATACATTTTAATTATTATAGTAATAATAACCTGGTTTTACATTTTTTGATGACATTATTTTGTGGTTGTAGGAAAAATATTGTACATCACTTGTGTGAAAAGTGATTTTACGCACTCGTGTGATAGTCGCACTTGGCTTGTGCCTCGTGCGACAATATTTCCCACTCGTGTGAAAAATGTCACTTTCCACACTCGTAATGTAATATACTATTTCGGCCAAGTAAGTTTGAAATTGGTAAAGTTGAAACCAGCCCAGTTTATTAGTGAACATTTTAGTAGATGTGTAAAACTAATCCTTATGAGTAAATTAGGAGAACTATGTCTGAAACAGCATATATATTTTTAATAAGTTAACCATTTATAGACCCTCAGTTGAGAAAAATGAAAAATTACAACTAAAACTAAACGCAGGATTTATTATATGTAGTATTTAATAATTAGGACAACATAAAAAAGAAATATGCCGTATTAACCACATACTTTTTGATAAGATTGCATACTTAAATACACTCTACAAATATCACTAATGTGTGCTTGCTTCTTATCTATACAATCGTACTCGGTATGGTACCATTTCACACAAAGCTCACATCTAATCTATTTTTCTAGAGAACCAGATATTCAGAATAGCTTATTACAAAAGAACAAACTGTAACATCTTCATCATTGTCAATAAATATTGACCCACAGATAGAAACAAAAGACCCGACCTAATAGACTATTTGATAAAACTACATCCAAGTTAATGAATTCAGATAATTTGCCCATTCTTCTCATTTTTAGTGTCACCATTATCCAAAAGAAAAGCGCTCCTAGACTAAAAAATAGAAGAACAGACTGGGAAAGCTTTAGACTGGACCTTGAAAATAAAATCAGTCTTTCAGTTCCGTTAAGAACAAAAGCACAGCTAGATGAAGAAATAGAACTACTTGTTTCCAACAGCATGGGATAATGCGCCACCTATTGTTCAGCAAACAACAGGAAATAACTATCCTTAAGAAATAAGGGACCTAATATCTGCAAAAAGAAAACTAAAGAGGAAATAGCATCAGACCAGAGCTCCATCAGATAAAACCAAACTTAACAACGCCACCCAGCAGTTAAAAAGAGAGATAAAACGAATCAAAAATGAATCTATTTGTGAGTACCTTAGTGAGTTGACAAACGATAAATCCACTGATTATTCTCTATGGAAAGCCGCAAAGCGATTAAAATGGCTCACTGTGCAGAATGCTCCAATCAGATATACAGATGGCAGCTGGGCTAGAAATATTACACAAAAAGTCAATAGATTCGCAGAGTACTTACAAAATAGCTTCCAACCAAATAAAGCAGAAGAATTACCAAACTCTGCTCCTCTAGAGAGAGATGACTTAATTATCAGACCAACCTCTTAAAAGAAAATTGCAGAAGATATAAAAACAAATATTAATCCTAAGATTTGGCTTTGATTTAATTATAGGAGAAATCTTAAAACAACTTCCATAATTAAACTTAAGCACCTGTTTAAAGCCTCATTTAAACTTAGGTATGTCTTTAGGTTAAAGAAAGTAGCTGAAGTCATTATGATTCCCAAACCAGAAAAACCTCCGAACGAAGTTTCGTCATATAGGCCAATATCTCTATTGCCTATAATATCAAAACTATTTGAAAAAATACTAATAAAAATACTGAAACCTATCATTAAAGAAAGGAAACTAATTCCAGATTACCAGTTCGGCTTTAGAGAAAACCATTCAACTATAGATTGGGTTCATAGCATTTCAAATTCGATTGAAAAAGCATTAGAAAACAAAGAAGTATGTTCAGCCATTTTCCTTAAACTGAATGTGCTACATCCACAACCATATTCAGAGATTGAATTAATTGATTTCAGATAGATTCTTTAGAGTAAAACAAGATGAAGCATACTCTGAATTGAAAGAAATTAAAGCGCTTGTGACATATCCCAACTAGAGCAAGACACAATAGATATATTTGCAAATGATACTGCCATCCTAGCGATAGGCAAAGATCATGAAGAGGTTGCAAATAAACTACCAACATCAGTTAATCAAATAAATAATTGGACCAGAAGATGACGTATTAAACTAAACGAAACCAAATCTATTAATATTAATTTTACTAACAAAAATGGTCAAAGAATACAAATTAACATAAATAATACTTAGGTCCCTTGTGCTAACTTGACAAAGTATCTAGGTATTACATTAGATGCAATACTTCGCTGGCAGGTCCATGTTAAAAAGAAAAGAGTTAGATTTAAAATTCAAGAAAATGTACTGGTTACTTGGTAGGCATTAGAATAGAATAGAATAATTTATTAACTTTCATTACTTAAAAAAATACACAAGTCAAGTCGTAAAATAAGTAATAAATGTAAAATTTAACAATAATAATAATTATTTATTTTTTATTTTTGCAGACCTGTATCACACAGTTTTATTGATAAATTCCGTAATAGAGTAAAAAGAGCTTTTTGTAGGTATATTTTAACTTTTTTTAAAAGATTCGTATGTTGTTTGTGATTTTAGTTCTTCAGGCAAAGCATTATATATAGTAATACAGTTATATAAAGGAGACCTTCTGAAAGTCGTTGTCTGGTAGCTAGGGAGTATTAAATTATCATTCCTTGTGTGATGAGAATGAATTTGAGATTGTTTAATAAATTCAGAGAGGTACTTCCTTGTAAACGTAGTACATTTGAAAATATATATACACGGAAATGTTAAAATTGATTTCGTTTTAAAATGTTTCTGCAACTTTCGATATTTTTTAGATTAAATATTAAACGAAGTATTTTTTTGGGACACAAACGCCCTATTACTCTCTGTAGCTTTTCCCTATGACAAAACATTATAAGATAAATGAGAATAAGCGAATGCATAACAAAGATCAAGCAAGCCTTTTTCATCCAAATAGGATTATCATCTGAAATATTGCATAAAAAGTTTTATTCAGTTGTCCACATACATAGTCTATGTGATATTCAAAGCTCATGTTTGAGTCCAACCATGTACCCAATAGCTTGGCATGCGTTTCAAATTTAAATGGAAGTTCTTTACTTATTGACTCTGGTATATAGAAGTTTAAACATACCGTTTTGTCTTCATTAAGAATTAAAGAGTTTTTATGGCACCATTGTTTCATTTGACTGAATACAGACCGTTATTTTAGTATCATCTGCAAACATTATGGTCTTACCTCCATGTATATGTGTGGGCAAGTCATTTACAAAAAGCAAGAATATTAACGGTCCCAAAACAGAACCCTGAGGAACCCCGAGAGATACAGGGTACATTTTTGAAATTTCAGAGTTTATTTTAACTAACAATTTACGGTTTCCTAAGTAGGACTCTATCCAGTCTAGCAGTTTCCCTCGAATTCCCAATGTAGTTAGCCTATTTAAAATGAATTCTTTCTTTAGGGTAGCAAATGCCTTTGACAGATCGAACATAATTGAAATGACATATTTACCTTTGTCCAATTCATTATATACATGAGTTAATAATTCATTAGTTGCAGTTTCGATAGATTTATTTTTTCTAAACCCATGTTGGCTTATTGTGAGTATTTTATACTTATCATTAAAATCAGTTATAATATTATATACACATCTCTCAAGTATTTTTGATAATTCAGATAACAATGAAATTTGTCGATAGTTATCTATATTTGATGTTTCTCCTTTTTTATGGAGAGGAATTACAACTGCCAGTTTAAATGCCTCTGGAAAAATTCCTTTTTGTAATGATAAGTTTATTAAATAGGTAAGTGGTTGCAGAATTATAATTTTAATTGATTTCAGTATTTTGGGCGATAATTCATCGATTCCAGCACAATTTTTCTTTTTAATTTTATCAAACGCTATTTTTATGTCTTCCATAGGAATGTAATTAACAAAAATAGAGTTTACAATATATTGACCTACTGTACAACTCTGTGATATATTGTTTTGAAAATGATCACTAACCATATTGGTACATATGCCAGAAAAGTGAGAAGAAAATAAGTTACTTATTTCTTTTGTGTCTGTGATCTGTATGTTATTATAGTGCAAGGAGATACTAGTGGTACGTTTAGATTTTCATTTATAATTTTCCACGTCTCTTTTATTTTATTGTCGGCTCTGCTCATTCGATCATAAGTG